TATATCTGCTAATCGTAACGCCCCTTTTTTCCCATTATCCCTCCCTTCCCATCCATCCTCCCCAGTCCCTTTCTCTTTGGTAACTGTTGGTCCATTCTTGGGTTCTGTGAGTCTGCTGCTGTTTTGTTCCTTCAGCTTTTTTCTTTATTCCTATACTCCACCGATGAGTGAAATCATCTGATACCTGCCTTTCTCCACCTGGCTTATTTCACTGAACATACTATCCTCCAGCTCTGTCCATGTGGTTGCAAATGGTAGGATTTGTTTTCTTCTTTTGGCTGAATACTCCATTGTGTGTATTTACCACATTTTCTTTATCCATTCATATACTGATGGACACTTAGGTTGCTTCCATTTCTTGGCTATTGTAAATAGTGCCATGATAAACATAGGGGAGCATTTGTCTTTTTCAAACTGGGCTGCTGCATTCTTAGGGTAAATTCCTGGAAGTGGAATTCCTGGGTCAAATGGTATTTCTATTTTGAGTTTTTTGAGGAACCTCCATACTGCTTTCCACAATGGTTGAACTAATTTACATTCCTACCAGCAGTGTAGGAGGGTTCCCCTTTCTCCACAACCTCGCCAGCATTTGTTGTTCTAGTCTTTTCAATGCTGGCCATCCTAACTGGTGTGAGGTGATATCTCATTGTGGTTTTAATTTGCATTTCTGTGAAGATTAGTGATGTGGAGCATCTTCTCATGTTCCTGTTGGCCATCTGAATTTCTTCTTTGGAGAAGTGCTTGTTCACATCCTCTGCCCATTTTTTAATTGGATTATTTGGTCTTTGTTTGTTGAGGTGTGTGACTTCTTTATATATTTTGGATGTCAACTCTTTATTGGATATGCCATTTATGAATATATTCTCCCACAGTGTTCTCTTGGTGGTGTCCTTTGCTGTACAGAAGCTTTTCAGCTTGATATAGTCCCATTTGTTCATTTTTGCTTTTGTTTTCCTTGCCCAGGAAGGTATGTTCATGAAGAAGTTGTTCATGTTTATGTCCAAGAGATTTTTGCCTATGTTTTTTTCTAAGAGTTTTATGGTTTCATGACTTACTGTCAGGCCTTTGATCCATTTTGAATTTACTTTTGTGTGTGGGGTTAGACAATAATCAGGTTTCATTCTCTTACATGTAGCTGTCCAGTTTTGCCAACACCAGCTGTTGAAGAGGCTGTCATTTCCCCATTGTATGTCCATGGCTCCTTTATTGTATATTAATTGACCATATATGTCTGGGTTAATATCTGGACTCTCTAGTCTGTTCCACTGGTCCATGACTCTGCTCTTGTGCCAGTACCAAATTGTCTTGATTACTGTGGCTTTGTAGTTGAGCTTGAAGTTGGGAAGTATCCCTACCTACTTTTGCCCACTCTCCTTGGACTAAAAGTTCAAATCTATTCTTAAATGTATTTCTATTGTTCCTTCGCTTGCTGTAGTTATCTGCTTTGTCAGTGTGCATTTTGATACTTAATGCAAAATTATTTGTAACTGTTGTATCATTATTATGAATTACATCCTTTAGCATTTTATGCCTGTCTTTTGGCCTGAATTCTACCTTATGATGTCAGGATTACTATCCCTGCCTTTGTTTGTTTCCATTTTTCTTTGTTTAGCTTTTCTGAGCCATCAAATTCAAGTGTCTCTCTTGTATACAGCACGGTGTTGTATTTTGCTTTGAAATCAGTCTGAAAATTTCTCTTGGAGTAGGCAAGTGAATTTACTGGTATGATTAATATTTGGTATCAACTCATTATTTTGTATTTTTTGTGTATAAGGTGCTATTTTTTCCCTCTGTGAGGTCTTATTTTGCCTTTTTATTTTATAAGAGCATCTAGGAAGGTTTGTGTTTTGCTTTGTCTTTACACTCATAACTTCTTATAATGTCCTTATTCCTTTCTTAATCTACTACTTCCTGTCAGTTCTAAATACCACTCATTATCTGCACAATAAGCTTATAGCACATCCTTGATTTGCATTTTTTTTCCCCTTGAACCTCTTGAAAATGCTGCTCTACTTGTTTTGCTTTGTATGTTGCTGTTGAGATGACTTTTTATCTGTTTCATTAAAAAGGCCCCACTCCTCATCCATTCTCCTTACCATACAGTAAATAGAGAATTCAAGTTTAAGTATTCTCCACAGCATAATCCATACTGTAGGTGTGGGTTATAGATTTTATTTGATGTCATAAGCACAGTGTTTTGAGAAGATGGAGACATTCAGATTTGGGTGACCATGATTATTCTCAAACATCTCTATCTTCTAGGACTAAGATTTTCTGCTTACAAGGAAAGAGCATCAGCCTCATATACCAGATTATTGTCTTATTTTGTAGATTTTAAGATGCTCCTTTTCACATGGAAGCAGCCTTCCTTCTATATGAAAGTTACAACTGAGAGATGAATGGATAAAGATGTGGCACATATATACAATGAATATTACTCAGCCGTAAATAGAATTAAATCTTGTGATCTGCAACAAGAGCAAGGGATCTAGAGGGTATTAATGGTAAATGAATCAGAGAAAGACAAATATCATGTAATGTCACTTTTATGTGGAATATAAAAAACAAATGAACAAATAAAACAAACATTCATAAATACGGGGAAAAGACTGGTGTTTGTCACTGGGGAAGGGTGTGGGGAGATGGACAAAATAGTTGGAAGGGACAATAGAGGTACAAACTTTCAAGTATAAAACAAACTACTCACGGGGATAAAGTACAGCATAGGGAATACAGTTAATAACACCATCTTTGTGTGATGATAGATGGTAACTTCACTTATCATGGTAAGAATTTAGTAATGTGTAAATTGCTGACTGTTGTACACCTGAAACCAGTACAATATTGTATATCAATTATATTTTTAAAAACATCTCTAAGATTGAGAAGAGAATCTGGTATCTAAAAAAGTACAACAGGCCTTTCCACCCACATTATAATAGGTCTTAGATAGAAATTCATCTTGCAACTGATGGCATATAACAGACAGTGGAAGTATGATAGACTAAATAAATGCACGTGGTCCAATTAGTGGAATTGTGAATTTTAAGGGCTACTATCTTTCTGGCCCTAACTTGCCTAGCCACATGGTTCCCGCCTCCCCTGTGTGCAACTGTGCAGAGTGGAAATGGGCTCCAAATGCATCCCGCAGTGCTCAGCCCAGCTGCCACTTCTCTCCCAGGACCACTAATGCAGCACACAGAATCCCTTCCTGTATCTGCAAGAGAAATGTGTAACCTGCTTCAGATTTGGGATGACTGGTTTTTCTCAGCATTTTGTCTGTTTTATACTAACTTTTTCCTAGCAAATATTTTTATGGTGTATATTACTGGGCTGTGGTTACTATATAGTTTTAATGGGAAGACTTTACTTTTGGTTCTTTTTTTCTTTCTGAAAAATCTTTATTCACCTTCATTTTATTATTTTTTTTGTATCATTAATTATAATTACATGAGCAACATTATGGTTTACCAGACTTCCCCCATCAAGTCCCCACCACATACCCCATTATAGTCACTGTCCATCAGCATAGTAAGATGCTACAGAGTCACTACTTGTCTTCTCTGTGTTGTACAGCTTTCCCCGTGCCCCCCTACATTGTGTGCTAACCATTATGCCCCTTTTCCCCCCTTATCCCTCCCTCCTCACCCATCTTCCCCAGTCCCTTTCCCTTTGGTAACTGTTAGTCCATTCTTGGGTTCTGTGAGTCCGCTGCTGTTTTGTCCCTTCAGTTTTTTTCTTTGTTCTTATCCTCACATTCTTTACCCTCATCTTGAAATATCCGTAAAATAGCTACTCACCACTTCCTTGCTATTCCTGAAAACATATTGGTAGCAACGTTTCTTTCTACATTCAGTCTTATCCACTCTTCAACTTCCATCTCCACCCTCCATCTCCAGGCCTCCTGGTTCTGTGTCCTCCTTATCTTGAGGGACCTTTTTGATGTTCATCAAGTTCACCAACTTTTAATGGTCACATGCTTGATTTTGTCATTATTGGACAATATGCTTTCAAAATCACACTCTCAAATGGTCCAATTTCCAACTGACGAGGACTTTGTTCTCCCAATCAGATGCCTTCCTGCACGCTTGTCTTTAACCTCATTCTCTCCAAACCTTTTCTCTATCTTCTCCTCTGAGGGCTTCCCTCTGTTTCTACCTTAGATTTTTATGGTGATTTATTTTATTTTACTTTCCCCCACTTTTCATACCCCCGGCTGACCTCTCACTACCCAATTCCTCATTGCACCTGCCTGGAAATACTTTTGCTTCTTTTTAAAATGTTGATGTGTTGATGTGTTTTAAGAACTGAAGTGAAATAGTGTGTGTTATTCTAAATCTTTCCCAGGAACTTCAATCATTTTTAAAAAGTAGCAGTAAACCTCTACATGTTGAAATTTTGGCTTAGAAAGTATTATAAAAGTAGCTGAAAAGTTACTATCTTCATCTGTTTATAAAAATAACCACTCTGGTACTTTTGTAGTCAGAAGTACCCAAGGCTTAAGTCAGTAGGAACCTATGAAATTTCAGGTACTGTACATTGAAGAAATTTGTATTTCTAAGAAATTAGTATTTCCTAAACACACACAACGAATACTACTCTAGATCTGCTGAAAAATTAAAAATCAAGAGACTATTCCACTGAATACATTACATATGTAAACTGGTCATCAGGAATGTACATTTATTTCATTAAAAACAAAAGATTCATTCCTCAAAGCGTTACTGTTATTTTTAAAGCACCAGCAATCACAAGGCACATATGTACAAAATACCTTAAGCAAAATGGAAAGTAAACTTTAAAAAATACGTTATTTAAAAAAGATATTGCAGACCTTTTGCTAATTTGAACATATAAAAATGACTGGTTTTTAAAGGTTTTATTCCTTTACCTTCAGCAAGAGAAGGAACAATGGTGTACTATTTATGCACTTCCTTGTGGCACACATTACAAACATTCATACCACCTAACTTGGTTTGTTAAAGAAAAAACAGCGAAAGTACAGCTTAAAATCTTTATTTTTAGTGCTTTTACACCTTTCCTTAGGTATTTGGAACTCGCAAGTTGAAGTGAAACAAAAGTCTCCCTTTCCTTGGCTTAGAGAAGCCCTGTAGTTCTGGCTCCCCAGGCAAGCCCAGTAGACAACAAAGGAACCCACCCAAGATACTCTAAAGTATCAAGGAAATGATTTCTACTTCGGGGTCATCACAGTAACCCTCTTCCTAAAACAGACTAGCAGCCAACACATAATAAATGTAAAGTCAATTTTATTAAAATAAAATAGCATTTGATTTATATTATTGCTAATTAAGAAGCATAATGACTATGTTCTGGTTAGAGAGACTAAAATTAGCTGTTAGAAAATGGTGTACCATTACTATTTAGTGTACATAAAATTCGAGGGTTCAAATAGAACAAAAAGTTTATAATAATCACACAAAAAATGTTCCCTTATCTATTAGCCACCATTGAGCTTCATGTGATGAGGACTGAAAAAGATGTGGTTGAATTAGGTCTTCAAGAATGTATTTTGTATCATGTATGTTGAAGTGTTCCTCTAAGCTTTAATGCTGAAAAGACATTTTTCTAGGAAATATTAAGGAGTGCTTATAGAATCTCTTCATTTTTATTAGAAGGAAGAACAGACTGAAGCTCTATTTTCAAATGATAACAAAAAAATATATAAAATCTAGTATCTTAAAACATTTAAATAGTACTAAATAGCACAATTTAAATAATATATATGTGCTGCTGTAAGTTTTCCTCTTAAAAATCACTTCCTGGACTTAGATGTGTGTTCTTTTTAAGAATAACCAGCATCCTGCATGTGGTCACACACTGAGCCCATACCCACTCATCTGGTGACAACGCCATCCCTTATTTGCAGAGCCTCCTCTGGGTGCCAGGCTCTGACCGAGACCCGTGTGCATGCTGTGTGCATAGCTGTCCAGCCAGCCGCCAGGCAAGACTAAAGCAGCACGGCCTGGGCCACCTCCTTGATTGTGGATGCAGCTCTGTCCAGTTCTTCTTCCGTTTGCTCCACTGTGACCACAACCCTAATGCTGAGAAATCAGAAAGGACACAGATGACACTTGAAAGAAGAGTCCACATGAAGCAATTTGGGAAACAAAGTTCCATGGGACACGGCCCACATGTGGCTCACTTGATGTCCACAGCATTACCGTGGCAGAGTCCAGTAGCTGCACAAGAACCCTTGTCCTGCGAGCATAAACCATTTCCCACCTGGCCATTTACAGAAGTTTGCAGCTCCCAGCCTGGGCTATAAGCGTCCCGAGTCATAGTAACTTCGCAGTATACCAGGAAACTGTTCTTAAATAGTCTACTGCTTCAAGCAGTACCAGGCCCAAAACATGAGTTCAGTATTTCTCACATTATTGTTTGGTTGCTCATAATTGTAATTCAGTAAGTCATAAGGGGAATTCTGTAATACTTTAAAGCAAGGCAGAAATTTTCAAGTTTTCAGAATATTGAAGAAATATCAGCTCAGCAGGGCAATTCCACTCTGTCCCCCTCATTCCCTCTGCAAACATCTGCACCATCCACTGGACACATACTGAGCTGCACTGTGCTGGGAAGGGAGCCCTGTGAGCACAAGACAAACACGCCACCCTCCACCTGCAACCCAGACCACACCTGTGCACGGGGCCCTGGGCAGCAGGAGGGCAGAATCTCCAGGGTGCGTTCGAGCTGCCGCCAGAACCCAGCCTGGTGCTCAGTGCCACGGGGCTCTGGCTCCGGTGTTCTTCCAGGTCCTCCCGACCCTGCCCAGTCCCCTCACCACTACCTCTCAAGCTTGGGCTCTGGCTCCCCAGACACACTTGTAGTCCCCACAGCACTGACATAGGTCTCCACACACAAGATGCCCACCAGGTGTCCGTGACCTTGTTTGACGTACTTCAGTTTCTGGGTTTGGCTCACACAACACCTGAGCTCAGAAACCTGAGTCCCTCCCAGGCCACAACCAACCATGCCCTCCTGTGAGCTCATGACCTCATGCCATGACCCTGACACTCTGGCTGTCTATCTCTGTCAACTATACTGTAAGTGCCTCGTGGCCAGAATCAGGAAATTTTCTTGAATGACTACCAGTGTTTTCAACCACGAGTCAAGGTGCCTTCCCACACAGGGCTTCTTAAACCTCTGGATTTCCCCACTATACTGTTTCTCCCTGGCTGGTGTGTCAGCATTTAGATGCAGTGCCCACAGCAGCAGATTGAGCATGGCCACCTGTCCTAGCAGAAAGTGCTGGCACAGCACATGGCGGATGTATGCTTACAGAATTATATCTGCCCCAGTTCCTTCTTGGGAGCTCAGACATGTCCTTAAGTTAACTGGGAGGGTACACTGAGTGGTGAGGGCCTTTTCAATTTGAAAACATATAGTTGAAGAATAGAAAACAGGTGCCACACTACACTTTAATGATACACTCTCTTCCTTATCCTGGGACAGTTTTCAAAAATCTTCAAAACAATACATTTCATACACAGTTTAAAGAAGGAAAAAAAAAAAGTTCCATTTTAACGTCCACCAACCTTGGAGGAGGGAGGCACTTCTCTTCTTTCTCCAAGTAGCGTGCCTGAGTTAAAGCGATGCTTCTGTCCATGCACTGTAGGAAGAAAAGGGACACATTAGCACCTGCACACTGGGAATTCAAACAGGAACACACTGCAGTACATCCTCACAGCAGTTCTCACTCACTCGGCCACCTGTGACTGTGAGAACAGCGATACTAACCCGTTTCCAGCAGCACTTCCCACAGCCTTTCTGCAGGGCTGCAGGGTGGAGGGGTCTGTTCTGCTCTGCCCAGGACAGCAGCTACAAGCCCACGGGGTTGCTTGTGCCACTGGGACTGAACGCTTTTAGCTCGTTTAAGTTTAAGCAGTCCCAGCTAGCTGGTGGTTCCCTACAAATAAAGCAGAACTGGGACACGGGTAGTAATACAAGGAAAGCGCTACAGGATGACCAAGACTGGATTTAAGAGTAACTCCAGCAAAATCGTTGCAGAGAGGAACTGTTCACACAGTACCTCAGACTTCTGTATGCTACACTTAAAGGCCAGGTACTGGCCAGGCTCACAAGAGGCTAGGGCCATATATTTTTTGCACAGCATTTCCACACATTAACTGCCTGCTAACATTTTTTTAAAATTACCATTCCCTATGAAAATAACAAAGCAGTTTCTTTTTGGGGGGAAGGAGCTTTTAAATCAGATGGCTGCACTATCTTGTGAGCAGACTAAAAACCACTCAACTCTGTACTTTAAAAGGGTGAAATTTATGCTAAGTGAACATATTTTTTAAAAATCCACCAGAGCAAGGGGTGTTGGAGAGAAGAACAACTATTCCATGCTTGGCAGTAAAGGCATTTCCTTGGAGAGGGCACACTGTGCAGGCTGCAGGCCACGTCTTCCTCTGCTGGGAAAAGATGCAAACACCAGGAGAACAGGATAGACACTTGCTGATGCCATATTCTAGAAGAGTACGTGGAAACTTTCCTCCTCCAGAGAACATCTGGACTGGCTCTGCGTCTAGCCCTGGCTAGTTAAGAAACATCCTAAACCATGGCTCAATTTGTAAAGACAGTGTGTTGCCAAGCAACTCAACAAAAACTTGGCAAAACCTCTTGGTTAACAATAGATACAGAACCATGATTCTTTCCTTGCCCCCAAATACTGACAAGAAGAAGAGGGGGAGGGACAGGAGCTTTGCAAGATGGAAGCTGTGATGATACGAAGAAATTGTAGATCTTTATTTTTCCTCCAAATACAGGCTTTCCAGACAGTGTTATGTTCTTTCCCAAGACTCTGCCCTCTTCCATTTAGCTCCCCAAATGACTTCCTAAGGATAGCCAGCCCCGAGCTGGGGCCTGCAGAGGAGCTTGGGATCTGGGGGCTGCTGTAGACGCCCTGCTGGGAGGGCAGCCCACAGTGGCGCTGCATTGACAGCCCCAAGCCCCTCCCTCTCGTGCAGTCTCCGGTCTTCCTCCAGCACAAGCAGTGAGCAAGGACAGAGGTAGACTTCACGTGGAATGCCCTCAAGCATCGGAGGATGGCCCAGGTCCTGAGACACGGAGGGGGCACTGAGAACTGTCTGAGAAGTCCCAGGGAGGCGCCAGGAGGAGGATGCAAGCTCCAGCATGGACATGTGGCTCTGCGGGCTGCTCTGCAGCAGGTGGCCCAGTCATACCTCGGACAACCAGGTTTAGAAAATACACTCAGCTGTCACATGAAGGGCATGTGATGAACCTTACACTGGTGTGTCCATTTAGCTTGTATTTAATTTATAAATTGTGTTGGCTTAACATGTGTATAAGCAAGTTTGTATGAGACTGATTCCTTTCACATCTATACACGACTGGGTTACATTACAATGAAAGCATCGAGGGCAGTGAAGGGGGTCTGTGGGAGGTTTTTCCCTTGAAGGAGAGTCTTTCGTGTCTTCAGAGGGGATCTGTGACATTCCTCACCCAGCAGGGCCAGAGGCTCTCCGGCCTGATTGTTCATCATCTGACATGTTTCCATAAGCAGGACTCTCAGATTCTAGGTGTGAGACTGACCCCTGACCACGCCGCACTATGTTCCTTGTGCTCTGTCAGGCCAGGTGACGTGGCTTACAGCGCAGCACGCAGGACAGCTAAAGCGGCTATGGAGCCAGAACTTGTTGGTTTCATCCTATTGTCTCCACACTGAGCAGCCATTGCCTCTGGACAGGGCCCGACCTCCCAGGGCCGAGCCACAGCTGGGCTGAAGCACATGACAGGGTACAGCTGCCTCTGTCACCCTGATGCCAGGCAGCACAAACTTATCTGACATGTTTCCATAAGCAGGACTCTCAGATTCTAGGTGTGAGACTGACCCCTGACCACGCCGCACTATGTTCCTTGTGCTCTGTCAGGCCAGGTGACGTGGCTTACAGCGCAGCACGCAGGACAGCTAAAGCGGCTATGGAGCCAGAACTTGGTTTCATCCTATTGTCTCCACACTGAGCAGCCATTGCCTCTGGACAGGGCCCGACCTCCCAGGGCCGAGCCACAGCTGGGCTGAAGCACATGACAGGGTACAGCTGCCTCTGTCACCCTGATGCCAGGCAGCACAAACTCAGAGCCGGAGGCCCTGCAACCCCCAGGACAAGCAGGACAAGAAGGCAGGACGCTTGTTCTCATCCTCACGTACTTGCTAGATGCACTCCAGAGTCAGGACAGGGCGGCAACCCCAGCACACATGCCCCGCTGCAGGGCCAGACGACATTTCTCCGTGGGCAGAGAAGCAAGGCAGGCAGGGGTCCAGGAATTCAGCTCTGCTGAACAGGGCGTGGGTCTTCCCGGTGATGACTCCTACTTAGAACTGAATTACTAGGAGTAAGATGACTTTCAGAAGATAAGCACATTAAATCGGCCTCCCAAATCGGGCATGGTAAGACATACTTCCTTCCTTTTTGGTTACAAGAATATTCTGACCTGTGCCTGGGCTTTGCGGAGGTTCACCCCACTCAGCTGCCCAGTGTTGTGTGTGAAACTAGACACAGTGCGGTGCCCACCTACATGCACGGAAGGCTGGCTTTGACAACAGTAAGCAAATGGGTTTTCTGCAAGGCTAATCATTCAAAATAGAGAAATATATTTTAATATCATATAGCACAGAACACAAATTCAACGTGTGTTGAAAATGGGCCGAATGGGACAACTGCAGCCTGACAGCAGCATTGGGCTACAGACACCTCAGGGCAGGGCTGGACGTCCACAGGGTTCAGGTACTTGACCAAGTCCATGCAAGGGTGACCAGCAACTTCTGCCACCCCTACCCCTTGAGGCAAAAAGATATTTCTCAAGAGTGACATAAAACACACTGGGTGGGTTCTGAGCAGACGTGGTATGAGGAGATTCACTCAAGTAACTAGATACTTACTTGATTTACAATTTCCTGGAGCAGTTTAACATCTTGTTCTCGAGACCCAGTGCTCTCTTCTAGCTGCAGGTGAAACGCTGGAGAAAGTGGCTCCCCCACCACTTTTAATCCGGAAATGCTAAGGAAGGGAATGCACACATGAGCATAAATGCCTCTCAAGCTCAAACACACCTCACATAAAAATGGATTTACAAAGTCTGTGCTGGTGAGTGTACCAGAAATGTGTGACTTCTATGGGACTGTCATATGACGGACTCCAGTTCTGACCAGACAGATGTGTGCCAGGCAGTGCACCCTCCTGGATATACTGGTGCTGGTTCAGGGAGCATGGCCACAAGGGGCTCGCTGTTCTGGGGGACCCCACTGACACACAACTCACAGGATTCAAATGACCCCCACGCTCCTACCAAGAGTACAGTCACTGCTCCTCCGGCCACTTCCTCACAGGCCCACTCAGCCCTGCGCCAGGGCCCCTGTGCCCTCCTCATATGCTCTCCCATTCTGCCACTGCCAGCACCAGACAGATGTCCCAGCCCAGTGTCGCCTCCCAGGGCATCCTTCCCATAGCACCTGCAGCAAGGAAGAGGCTGTGCATCATGTTTCCTTCATGGGCTACTTATTACAGTGGAAACAATGTTGCCCTGTTACTACCTAAGCATTTGTAGCTTGTCTTTCATAAATTATAGGGGTGACTTCTGATATTAACAATCTTTTTATTTTTTCAGCTTAGTTTTTTTTT